AAGCTGCAACATAATTTACTGAAGCTTAGCTTCTTTAAATAATGACTTCACTGTGATGGATTATTTTCTAAATAAGTAACTGGAAGTCTTTCACCTTGAAACGTGATCATGCTTCATGTAAACATTTAGGGAATAATTACACTCACATAAGTCAAACTCCTCTATTTTGATAGTCATATCTTAGTAACTGAGGAACCTTCAAACTGAACACTTGATCATGTTCCATGTGAATTGTTTGACTTGAAAATAAGAGTTTAAAAAAAAAAAAAAAAAAACAAAAAAACAAAAAAAAAAAAAAAAGATATATATATATATATATATATATATATAATAAAATTTATGCCTGTTAGCCAATCTTTTTTCTCACACTATTTAATCATTAATAAATGTGTTTTTTTATTTTTGTGAATATTTCGTGAGTGCTACTGTTATTATTTTTATTACTATTATTTATTATTGAATTATCACTATTTATATGGGTCATGGGGTTCATGGGTTAGTCTTTCATCTTCCACTAAGTCCACTCCTTATTGTGCCATGTGTCCCGTTTTGTTTTAAACTGCCACATAGACCTTTTTATTCTCCTTAATCACACTTTCTCCAAGAAAAACGCACACCACTTCTTCACATTCTCCACTTCAATTTTTTTCAAAAATTAGAGCTTATAAATTTCGTGCTTCTTTTTCGAAAATTCACACTCAAAAATCAAAAGCTCAAGAAGCAATTTTTTATCTACTGTATCATGGCATCTCCTCCTAGAAATCCTCTTCCAGCCGTTGATGATGTGCACAAGGATGCTGCAGCACCTGAACCAGCAGACTATAATCTAGCCATCATCGTTCATCCTGTCAACCTTGAAGCCATGCCGACCAGCTTCATTGGGCCCGGCGACGAGCTGAATCCGATTGACCCAGACGTTTCCCAGATCTGAATGCTACTGGATCACAACGCCGGAGGGGAGGACATTCTCCCAGCAGAGGCGGCAGAGGTGGAAGAAGAAGCGGCAGAGTCGGTCGCACTCCAGTTAGGCCAAACCCACCAAGAGGCCTTCATTTGATTGATGAAGAAACTGATGATGAAGAAGGAGATCCTACTTTTGCAGAACCAAGCCCAAGCTCTCTTCTCAAGCTACACTGAGTCATCCTCCAAAGACTCACCTCCACAGCATCAACTCAGGGGGAGACATTTCACTCCAACATGGCAACAACTCCCTCTCAACATCCTGTTTCCGAAGATGTTGCTGCACATGTTCCTGAAAATGCTGCTGCACCTACTGTCTCAGACAATGCTTCTCAAAATGTTGCTGAGGATGCTGATCGTTATCAAGATGAGGAAATGCCAGACTTTTCTGAGATGTCCTTTGCTGAGCAAGTAGATATCACCACTGCTGATGCCGAGGACTTTGCCACCACAGAATAAACCTCACTTCCTACACCCTCAGCTCCAAATGAAGATCCTCTGGAAACTCTGGCAGAGGCAGCTGTTCAAGTGGATGCACCACCTTCCCAGGTTGAAGAGAAAGAGAAAAGTGATGACAGTTGATGGAAGAAGATGTTGTCCCACCTGTTGCATCACCTGAGCCAGCATGCATACCAGATGAACTTGAAGACTTAGAAGAAGAGGAATCTTCAGAAGAAGAAGAGCTAGACTTGGATGGGAAGGAACTGTCAACTCTTTTTTGAGGTAAAACAATGCTTTCAGTTATATATTTTATTTTGAATCTGATTCAAATTGAGGAAAAGAAAATTTTCAAATGATGAGTTTGATAGGCATAGGATCACTGTTTTTCTTGATCAAAGTTGAGGTTGCCTGTCCTTATGATCTTTCTGTTGTGAAGGAATTTTTATGCCAATTTACAAACTTCTTTTTTTAAAGAAAAATTCTCCAAACTTTGAAAAAAGTTTTTGTGTGAAATTCTATTTTTTTTCAAAATTATCAACTCTCATTTACAAACTTCTAAAGTGATTGATGAGGATAATTATGGTGATTTTACTGAAGTTTGTAAGACTCTTTCTGGCAATCGTTTTAAATTCTTCTCTCATCTACTCCATTCTGCTTTCTCACACTTGGCATGATAATTATTTTTCAAAATTTTCTCAAAGCTCCTCATGTCCAAGATTTCCCTGGAATGGAGATAATTCCCTCTCAACTGAATCAGGTCAAAATAATCTTGGTACTGAAGGTGTTGCTCCTCATGTTGACAACACTCCTGACATCCTTATTTCTGTTTCTCGAGATTTATTTTGTTAAAACAGCTTACTCACTCCCTAGTTCAGATCACCTATCATCAGTGCATGGTGGAAATACTTCAGAGAGATCTTTCTGATCAAAAAGGGGGAGAAAAAGCTAGTGATGAAGATTGAAGCAGGGACTTCTCATCCTTTGGATGCCAGAGGCAGGGAGCAAGGAGTCAATAAAGAGGGAGCAAGGAATGAGGGCGAAGTTCAAGGAGCAGAGGAAAGCAGTGGATCCAGCGCTAATGATGGAGGAGCAGCAGCTGATACTGAGGAGACTTTGGATATTCTACTTTAATTTGTTTTAATGAACAATACATGGTTTTGTTCAGTTTTTATTTTCCCTATGAACTTTTATGTTAATGTTGGTTGTCAAATTCAGGGGGAGTTCAAGCAATGACTCAGGGGGAGTTAAGCTAAAATTTAGTTTTGATCAGAAAGTTAAAAAGGGGGAGTTTGAAACACGTGAGCGTGGATTATCTCCACATTGTGTTTTTAACTTTCTTATTTTTTAAACTAAATTTTAGTTATGGAATAAGTAGTGCTTAGTGGGTTAAGTATAGTGCTTAGTGGGCTAAGTAGTGCTTAAGTGGGTTTAATTGTGAATATTATTCTAACTCCTTAAACTAACCCACTAACCCACTAACCCATGTTCTTGAGTGCTCTTGTAGTTGGTTTTTCTTGCAGATCATGGGCTGAGGAGTGGATGCTTGGAATGCCTATAAATACCGACTTCAATACTCAAGGAAGATGATCGATTCTATGAAATAAAAACCGAGGGCTGAAGAGAATACACGAGTGTTTTAGTTAGGTTTTAGAATCGGTTGTTTGTACTCTTCACGAGTACATTCTTTACGTACTCTTCACGAGTACATTCTTTACGTACTCTTCGTGAGTACATTCTTTACGTACTCCTTATGAGTACATTCTTTACGTACTTCTCATAAGTACATTCTTTGTAGTCTAGATTGTTTAGTATATATGTTTCTAGACTTGGTTGTAAGAATGATCAAGATAGTGATTCATTCATAAGTTCTTTACGTACTCCTCACGAGTACATCTTTGAAATCTAGAATTTTTAATATTTTTCTTTTAGTATCTAGATTTGATTGTAAGAATGATCTTGAAAAAGATTCATTCATAAGGAAGAAGTTTTCGCACCTCTTCTGTTTGTATTCTTGGAATACTGATTTTAATATATTTTTCGTCCTGTAAAGGGCAAGTTCACAAGTCTTTACTTGTGAACATTTTTAATTCTGAGTACTGTTCTTTTATCTTTATATTTCCGCTGCATGTTTGTTCAAGTGTCATAACACTTAAGATAACACCTCTGTATTAAACGAATTCGGGACCATAAATTCTTTCAATTCTTACACGTCCACGGTCCACCATTGCTGTGTCAAATTTAGTAGAATATGTTAAATTATATGAAATATTCTCCAATTTACTCCCGTTTTGTGAAAAATACAGTTTCTAATCAAATTTTTTTTTGTCGCGCCCCATATTTATTCGGGGCATGTAATACCCGAGAATTTCGACGCTGGACGAGGCGAGGTTCTATCCCTGTATAGTACAGTTAACACAAGGAGAAAATATGAAACAATCTTTGAACAATTCACTAAAATTAAGAATCCAATTTAATAGATATAATTAATTATTACTCCCTCTAGCTGTTCTACAATAACCGTCTCTTTTTTAAAATAATTTTGTTCCATATTATCTGTCACTTTAGATTTCCAATACTGCATAAAATGCATTTTTTCCTGTTTTAACCTTATTAATTCAACTATAAGTATTAACTCTCTCTTATCACATCATTAAATAATCAAGGTTATTTTAGTCTTTCGCATGGGTGTAGCTCAACTGGCTCCGGAGGTGGTAAGTTGGAGCAAGGTCCTAGGATCGAATCCTGGCAGCCGCAGTGTGGGAATTTCAACTCCAATGAGATTGGTTCCTTGTGGGCACCAGGTCCGGGTCCGCTACCTTAACGGGCCGTTGAGTTACCATGATTTACATTCCTCCATCAATCCTTGTCGGGCTAAGGGATGGGGGCCCTGGGGGCGAGGGATTTCGCCTTTAGAGGTGGTAAGTTGGAACAAGACACATTTATTGAGTTTCTTAATTCTTGTGCAAAGCCAAAAACGACACTTAATAGGGAACGGAGAGAGTAATCTATATTAAACCCACTGAAAAATAAATTTTCCATTCAAAGACACTACAATGGAAAGTGTTAATATATAATGATTTATTTAATAATGAAACAGACAAAAAAAAAAAATCACAATTGAACACTCAACATTTCAATTAAAAAAGATAATTATGTGATTAAATCATTATCCCAAACCAGTTTATCAATACACTAATATTTATGCAAAAAAAAATAAAAAAATTACAATGTTAATTAATAGATCTAATACAACAAATCAAACATACTACTAATTGTTAATTAATTAATCAATAGAAAAAAAAATTAATCTAATCGAATTAAAAATGAATTAAAATCATATAACCGAACGAGCTAAGGCCCAGGGTCCATACCCGAATACGGCCCATTTTGACATGTGATGATTCGCTTCCCCACGTCCACGGATAGGATCATAGGACTCACCCTCCTGCCACGTCAGCAACCACAGCTTTTTTCTTGACCCCAAAAATAAAGAACAAAAAAAATAAAAAAATAAAAATTATTTTCTGTTCTTCCCCCAAATTTCCCACCATTTTTCATTTTTTCTTCACTCTTCCGAGTCTTCTTCTCCCACAAAATCAATTATTCCAACGACATTTGTACATTGAAATCTCACTGATAAATTCTGTATCTAGCTATGTCTTTCCAGGCGCGCCACCAGAACCTCGTCTCTTCCAGGTAATTTTTAATTATTTATTTATTTAATTAATGTTTTGATTATTCATTTTTGCTTATCTCCACGATTTGTTGGGGTTTTACAGTTAGTTTCGAGAACAATTATGCGGTATTTGTACTAGGTTCGGTTTGTGTGGTGTGGCAATCTCCTATGATTAGCTTCTGATAGTGTGGGCTGCTTCCTAAATCATAATCATATGAAGCTTATTTATCTGAAAACTTTGTGGGTAGCTTCATACTGGGAAATTATAATGAAATCAGTATAATGAAGTAGCTATTTTTTTTTTGCAGTTGATGTGCACTGTGATTTTTTTCTTTTGGTTGGATATGCAACTTTTTGCACAGAGTTTATCTTATATTTTCTAAAATTCTTATGAAAAGTTGGAACTAGGAATGAGATGATTAGCAAGTTGTTAAAAAGAGTCGAGTGTGTTTCTGTATTGCCAGGAACGTAATTTAGAAAGAGAATCAACACGGGTCAAGATTAAGAAGCATTATGGATTAAATTGGCAAATTGGAATGTGTTCTGTGAATGTTTCTGTATTGCCACCTCGCTTTCTTAAGTGGTTTTAGAAGCCAAATTTTGTTTTTAAACCTCCATTAAAGATATAAAATGCTCTCTTATGAATAGAATACAAAGACTATGAGCAAAAAGAGAAAACAATACAGAGAACTATGTTTGGTGGATGGACTCACCACTTATGTTTAAGGAAAGAAAAGAGGGACCTGCCATTGTGTTTTTTGGTTATTTCCATCTGGAAAACACGAACACGTATGTTTTCCATGGTGGCTAATGAAAACACAAGAAGGGTTGTGGGAAATCTTCCTTGACAATTTTTCTTTTTTCTGAATTTTTTTTCCATTTCTACTGCTCTTCTGCAGCACATAGCGCTTTCTTGATTACAATTCCTGACATATTAACAGTGCTGGAGGGCTTCCATATAATTACAGATAACTGATGACAAACTAAAGTCAAGCATGTGCCATGAAACTAGGAAGTTTTAATAATTTAGAATTCTAGCTTTAATCTTATGTAGTAATGGAAGCATTTAAAATTGAAAATGCAGTAGTTTTAACTAGTTCTATTCAAGATCTATGAGCTATCAACTCTCTTCAGTTTTCAGTCTTTTGGGTACACTGAGATTTAATATATGAAACTTTATCCATTTCTTATTTCGGTAGAAATTAAAAAAATGGTTCTGTGGGGGGTGGCTGTGAAAGAGCGGGACCTGAGTTTATTGATGGCAAAAGGAGGACAAAATATAGTCTGAGAGTATATTGATTTTAACTTAGTTATATATGTGACCTCCGTATCCTTCTTTCAAGAATTAAATAATTTCCATAGTCTCCGAATTCCTTTCTTTACAAACATATCATCTAAGAATATATTTAAGCTTCTGTGTATTTTTTTGGTGTTATCATGGTTGAACAATGGTTTTTTTTCGCTATGTTGCTTCAAGTATATTATATGGGTAAAGGACTGTTTGGGATCTAGGTGTCAGAATTCTATTAGAAAATGGTTGTGGCTCTAAGTGCAGATAGCGAAATTATTAGAATTTATATCTCTTGGATTTTTTACAAGGGACCTTGGGCATGTTGATATGAAGACATTGTAATAGTAAACTCAAGATAACAATGCTATATATTAAATATGTATCAGATAATTTGAAGTACACGGAAAGATGATCCTATTTCGCCTGTTCTTGACGGTTCACACACTTTTTAATGAGTTCATCAGCTCAAAGAAAAAGAAAATAACCTAGATTTTGTAACGGTTCTTTGTTCTCATAGCAGCTAATTTCAACTAGGGAACAAAGACTACTATCTTATTATAGAAGTATGCAAATTTTTGTTTTCTATTGCATGTCGCTCATCCTTTCACTTTTCATTTGCAGCTCTTCGAGTCCATGGGTTCCAATTAAACCAATCAGAGACTATTTCTTTAATGGAAAAATTGTCTGCGTGGATCACTTGATATCTAGTCATTTTTATACAAGGAAGAAAGGTCGTGTAAGGATATCTCATTTGGGAAATGGTAAATTTAGTCTTAGCTGCAGTTTGTCAGATTCAGGAAAACAACCGAGTAGCTTTCGCAAATTAAGAAGGATAGATCATCTCCTGCCTTTGGCTTCTGCTGATGATGGTGTGACAGTTAATGGGAGTTCCAAGGCCAGAACCAGCAATGATGTTGAGGAGATGAGGTACAAATTAGATCAGTCTTTGCAGGATGAGGACTACTCTACTGGCCTAGTTCAGTTATTACATGATGCTGCAAGGGTATTTGAGCTGGCAATAAAAGAACAGAGCTCATTATCAAAGTCAACTTGGTTCTCAACTGCGTGGCTTGGTGTGGACAAAAATGCTTGGGCTAAGGCACTTTCGTATCAGGTTGACATTACAATTTAATAGCTCAATATATTGTTGAGGTTAGTTCTATTGGAGCCATGAGATTCTGTAAGACCTTGTTAAAAACTTCTGAAATCTGAGGCCAGTCTGTATGGAATATAGAAGTTCTTCACTTATCCTTTATCTATATCTATTTACGAGGGCAAAAAATGTAACTTACATTTATACCATTTATATCTGAGACCAGTCTGTATGGATTTGAGATTAGTAGAGGCTAGGTACCAGCTCTCCTAATGAGGATTGATCCATGGAATTGGCTCAGTAGACATAGATATAAGTTTCTTTTTTCCAAAGTAAGTTTTGAAAAGCTTTCTTGTGTATTTGATCTCACTTGGTAAATCCTCCAAGTGCTGTATATCTTGCAAAGTTTCTGTCCCAATTGATTCGAATAGTCAAAACTATTTTCCAAACAATTTTCTTTTCTAAAAATATTGTGTCCGCCAATGTGCTATTTTGATCAACGAGTCCATTTTTAGTGACACGCTTTACCAATTTCTTCGGAAAAAGTTGTATGAATTTTTGGACAAAGTCGATTCATTTCCATGGTGTGTACTAGATATTGATGAAATTTATATAGTGCAGGAGTAAATTGACTACCCTTTTCTTCTCTCTTACCTTGTATCTTTCATGTACCCCTGCTGAGGCATTATGCTAGAATACTGAAATAAATGATCACTGAACTACCATTCAGTGGTATTTCTTAAAGTATCTTCTGTCAACCCAAAATAGAAGATTTTATAATCTTCTTTCTTTCTTCCCATGACATATTAAGTTAACTACTAAACCAATGCTATCTGAGCTACTTAGTGAGTAGAATTTCTTAAGACATCTCCTGCAACAAAATTGAAGATTTTGTTTCACATCTCTCCTTGCTACCACGAATGTTGTTAAGCTACAATATGAAACAAATGCTAGCTGAACTACTTGTGAGTGACCATTTATTTAGAAATCGAATTTCAGTCAATTAGTAACATATTTCGTCTTTCTTCTCTATTTCTTTTTCCGTAATGATAAATAACTAGAAATACAAAATTAATGCCAGATGTTCCCACTCATTCATTGGAATTTATTAAGAAATCTTCATTGGGTTAAAGAAAGAAAATGTTTACGGCTTTGCTTCTTGGAGAATTGATCTCTCCTTCTGGAATATCTTATTGCCAATGCACTATTAGGTGGTGTAATATTCAAGTCACTCTAATTCCTATCTGGTTATACTCTAATGAGGGTTCCATATTGATCTTTTCAAATGTTTCAGTATTATGTAAGTGGATAAGATTTATAATATGATGCTATGACCAGCGTTGACCGTATGACAAGATTATAGTTGGTTATCCAGTTTTTCTTGTTATTACCTGTCAATGTTGCCTAAAGACTTCTATTATCTTCAGGCATCTGTATACTCTCTTCTGCAAGCAGCAAGTGAGATTTCTTCTCGAGGAGATGGTCGAGACAGAGATATCAATGTTTTTGTCCAGCGGATGTAAGAATCCATTTCTAATTTTCTGACTTCTGGTATATTTGGAAGATATTTTTAACACTTCTATTATTTCATTAATGTAGCCTATCAAGGCAATCTGCTCCTTTGGAGAGTGTAATTAGAGATAAGTTGTTGGCGAAACAGCCAGAAGTTTTCGACTGGTTTTGGTCTGAGCAAATTCCAGCTGTGGTGACCAGTTTTGTTAATTATTTTGAAAATGAGCAGCGTTTTGCACCTGCAAATGCAGTGTAAGTAGTAACTTTAATGTGCTGTACAACATGTCTATATTCATGAGGAACCGGATGCTAGAGTCAATGAATTTGCTTATTTACAGGTACAAAAAAGGCCTGTCCTCAGTTTCAGGCAATTTAAGTGATGTATCCCTGCTCATGCTTGCACTTAGTTGCATAGCAGCGATCATGAAACTTGGCCCAACAAAAGTTTCTTGTGCGCAATTCTTTTCTCTTATTCCCGACGTAACTGGTAGATTGATGGACATGCTGGTTGAATTTGTCCCTGTTCGCCAAGCTTATCATTTGATAAAGGAAATTGGCCTGCGCAGAGAATTTCTTGTTCATTTTGGTCCTCGAGCAGCTGCTGGTAGAATGAATAATGACCTGGGTGCTGAAGAGATTATGTTTTGGGTGGGTCTAGTACAAAAGCAGGTGCATCGAGCTATTAATCGGGAGAGAATATGGTCCAGACTCACAACTAGTGAAAGTATTGAGGTTAGTCTGAAGAAGTTTCTATTGTATTTGCACATATTTTGATAGTTTATCAGAGACTGGTTTTGTCGAAATGTCAAGCTATAACTAATTATAATTTTAGGGGATAAAATAATTGATACATAGGTTGTACTACTTTCGTTTATCAAGTTTTAGCTGTCAGCATGTTTTTGCATTTTCAAGATTGAGAATGTTTACCTCAGAGGAAGTGTCTAAACTCTAAAGTTTGTTATACCAATGATGTCAAGCAACTAGGTTATTCATTGTATTGCAAAAGAAATATTCTCCACTTTTCCATTTCCATGACTCTTTTGAGTAGTTTGTGAGCTGTGCTAGAAGTTCTGAAAATTGGCCAAGAATATCCGGTACGACTTCTAGAACATGTTTTGAGCCTTTGCAGTTTGCCCTAGGAATATGAATTTTTAGTTGAAGTTTCTGTAGAACTGTCAACAGCAATGAGATTGAGCTTGATGATATAGTCTTACTATATATGTTCCCCAGTTGGTGAGTAGCCTTGTTGCATTTTGGTGGAGTGCATGGTATGGTGATAATAATGAGCTGAAATATAAATCAGATCTCACAAAACTAATTTTTTAGTTTATGATCATTTGGTTATACACAGTATGTTTTAAGGAAATACTGTACATTTTGAACTTTTGACTTTATGTGCAAAACATGTTGTGAAAAGATAAATGGATTTCTTCTTTCTTGCTTTGTTTCTTAATAATGATGATCTCTTTCCCATCTATTGTAATGGAGGTTTTGGAGAGGGATTTGGCTATATTTGGGTTCTTCATTGCCTTGGGGAGAAGTACACAGTCCTACCTATTCGCTAATGGCTTTGAAACCATGGATGGCCCTCTTGAAGGATTTATACGGTGCAGCTTCTAAGTCAGAGATACATTCCTTTTTCTTTATATACTTACTTCGCAGTTTTTTCTATACCTTACTATCTTCTCTAACAGGTACTTGATTGGGGGCAGTGTGCTATATTATCCTCAGCTCTCAGCAATAAGTTCTTATCAACTGTATGTGGAGGTTAGCATGGAGAATAAATCAGCACTAAGAAGATTCAACATGGTGAAAGAAACTAAAATATCTTTGATGTAACAGGTTGTGTGTGAAGAGCTAGACTGGCTTCCTTTTTATCCTGGCAGCAGCAGTACTTCCAAACGGACATTTGGACACAAAGATAAAGAAGGTCCCCCCAATTCTGAAGCTATTCCCCTGGTGTTAGATGTCTGCTCTCACTGGATTGAGAGCTTTATAAAGTACAGTAAATGGCTGGAGAGTCCGTCGAACGTCAAGGCAGCTAGATTTCTTTCCAAAGGGTAATGAACTATAGTACTTTGAAATCAATATATTGAATTTTCAATCTATATCAACTTAACTCAATAGACTAAAATTAAAATCAGTCACATTAACAATGCTATTTTTGTCTGAACTTTTTTCAGACACAACAAATTGAAAGCATGCATGGAAGAGCTGGGAATACAAAAGTAAGTTGAAGGATGTGAAGCCATATTTTCTTTGTGTTTGAGAGTGTTTGTGTGTGTGTGTGTGTGTGTCTGTCTGCGTGAATGTGCACTTGGTAGAAATTCTGTTACTTAAATTTCTGGTGGGCAGTGAAAGTACATCCTCGAAGCATTGGTGTGATGAAATATCTTCCATGTTTAATGTTGAATTGATAATAGAAATAAATATCCATTTTCTGCAAATGATTCCGATAGTTAACTTCTTCTCAGAGCTCCACTGGGTTGAAACAATATCACCTTCATGGCTCAGTCAGCACCTCCCTTTTGAATTGTATTAGTCATCATTTTAGTGGAACTTTTCTGGACTCTATAGGTACTACAATTTTATATACTCACTATAGTATTGACTGGGAGGGTTATATGGTGCTTAATCTCAGACAAAAATGAAAAAAGTGGAACATTTTTTTTGGTTTTATTTGGGAATGGCTATGTCCTAGTTGAGCATGTATTAGCCGCTCTAATTTTATCTTAAATCATATGATTAAGTTGTTGATTAATTTGTGGTGGTTCATGTCAGCATGCGACTTTTTCCAGAAAAGATGTTATGTTCGATAAATCTCAAGATTGCTGATTATATCTTTTGATGTGCACTATTGGAGTTAATAATGCCTAGCTACTTGTTGACAGGGGTTATTTACCAGTTGAAAAGGAATCGCAATCCTTTGATAAGGTATTTAGAATCTATCTTGAGTGAAGCTATCGATAAATGTGTTTTACTTACATGCCACTATGCAATTAGTCTTCCATTATTTCCATTCTGTTGGAACTAGGAAGTGCATTTTCAAATATGAAAATAGAGTATGTAACATATTCCTACTCTCTGGCCTCTGCACCCTCCATATCCATTGTTATTAGTAAATGAGTATCACGAGACTATTCTGACTTATCATGCATTACTAAAAAACAATTGGCTGAATATGAAATTCTATAGTATGGAAATGATTATAGTTTCTTCTATTAATCAATTGCGAAGTTGAGTTTTTTTACAAGGTTCCTATCCTATACCTTTTCTTTTGATTTCATATTTTTTGCATTGATAGGATCTGATTTTTTTTGGAAACTTACGGACTCCAGAATGTAGCTTTTTATTGTTTTATCGTCGATAATTTAAATTAGTTGCTACAGAAATGTCTATATTTTATTGATTCTTTAAATTGAACCAGTCCAAATTAACTATCTTGTGCTAGAACTATGAGAGATATTGTTGCATAATGCATCGATTTTCTAATTTTGGATAGGCATTGGAGAGTGTTGACGAAGCTCTTTTACGGCTTGAAGAATTACTTCAGGAGCTTCATTTATCAAGATCTAATTCTGGAAAGGAGCACTTGAAAGCTGCCTGTTCAGACCTTGAAAGGATACGAAAGCTGAAGAAAGAGGCTGAATTTCTAGAGGCATCCTTCAGAGCTAAGGCAGCTTCTCTTCAGCAGGTATGTGAAATTTCTCCTGAATCAGTGGCTTCGTCACCTTGGGTTAGTTTTACTTATAGTTGAAATGTCTGTTTATTTTTTTGCGAGTACAAATATGTGCAGCAGCACGGAACATGACAATGAAATGATAACAGGCTAAATATAAAAGCTTGACTTCAGTACTGAGTGTTTAGTATTGTTTTTGGGTGCTTATGGAGAAGTATTTAGGTGAATGCGTTCTGGGAGCATGTATTGGACAATTTTATGTATTGTTGGTTTGACTTTGGTAATGTGTTTTGAAGAGTAAATAATATGATGTTTTGAAGCATTTCTAGCGAACATTTATTGGTTTGCAGGGAAATTTATTGGAGGATGTGTGTATATTTGGTTTTATTTTGGGAGATGAAAAGGGAGTTTCTGCTGAAGCTTCCGAGAAAATATTTTGAAAATACAGTTAAACCTCTATAAATTAATACAGTTGGGACCATCAAGATTTCATTAATTTAGCGAAATATTAACTTATCGATAAATTAATAATTATTAATTTATACATTAATTAATAACTTATTAATTTATGAAATTACTTTTATTATCATTTTCAATAAATACGTTTTATTTTTATTTTTTATGTGTATATTATTCATTATACCATTCGTTCAATGCACTATAGAGCTCGTTTCACGAATGGAAGCTCTTAAAACAGTAATGGTATAGAACGATTTATGTTGAGTTATGAGAAAACTATACCGAAAGTTCTAACCATGTTAAGAAAAGTGAGGGACGAGATTGATGGTAATGTGAACTTCTACAAGAAACAAGCGAGAATTAAATTATATTATATTAAGCCTTCATAGATCTATAAAATATGCACTATACCATGTAATTTAAGAATTTTTTTTATGCATTATTAATTTATATATTATATGGGGCTTCTTAAAATTTCCGAATGTGTATTATCTTATAAATTTAGCGAATTATTAATTTAGCACGTTGTCCCCGAGTCGGGACCGAGAAAATTTATTATTTAAGCGAGGTTATTAATTTATCGGGTATTAATTTATCGAGGTTCTACTGTATAATGTATAGAAGAAAGGTATTGTATAATGTGTGTAAGCGTGGTTTTATTTTGGAAGTATCAAAACTTTTTGGAAAAATGAAAAGAGACATTGGGTAAGATACGGTTTATTCTATGCTACACCGGGTGAAATACATCGGGTAGATCTTTACCATTAATATAGACACAAACACCCCCACACCCACATTGGTGTGTGTAGATCAACGGTAAAAAATCACCAGCTGTAGTCTTCACCGGCTGTAGCATAGAAATAACGTAAGATACTGTGGCAATGATACAAAGGGGTGTAATAGAAAGGAATGCATGGATCTATAAGGACTACTAGTTGTATTTGATTGAATATTAACGTTTGCCTCTTTGGTACAATGCATTATGTTTGTTTATCGGCTATCTTTGAGGGAGTTTCTGATAGATCGACGAGAAAGATTCATGGAACTTATTAATGTGTTTCTGAGTACTTCTTGAGTTTCTTCTTTGTAATTTTTCTTGTCTTCCTAGTGATAAAAAATACTTCCTTAGATTTTGCTCACCGATAATGTTCTTTATTCGTTCTATTCGCTATTGATTTTGATTTTGTTGACTAAACGAAACAAATAAGCATCGTGATTCTCTTATTTCCTTATCTTTTAAATTAGCACTGCCACCACGTTGAAATCTTGGCTTATTTAATTCTATTTTATTGCTCCAAAGTGGTGGTCGGTATATTTTGTTGACCATATTGTTCACTACTCAATTTACTATACTTGGGAAAGATCAATGTCCCACTTCTTTATATTCTTCTTCTTCTGTTTATTATACTAGGGAGATGTCAGTAGCTCTAGAACTCCAGCTAGTGAACGGCAACAATATTCTAGAGGAAAAGGTAGCAAGAGTACTGACATGAAAATGGAGAGGAGCAGGTACAAGACTTTTCAGATAACTCGGTGCTCTTATTTTAGTTTAATATCCAATTATTTAAATTATTTATGTAAATTTGTTGCTGCTTTTAACACTGTTTTTTGCTGATTATTCTGTTTTGGTTTAGCAGTTCTCTTGGATTATGGAGTTTCATAGAACGCAACCCAAACAAATCCTCTGGCCCAAGTTCTTCAACTGCCAATGATAGTGTATTATACCTTATACAAAAGCTTATCAATTACTTGCATTGTACATTTATATGTTCGTAGGCTGCATTTTGTTCCTTATGTTAATGAACTTAGGATTTGAATTTCTCATGGTTGTTTTTTGCATTGCTTGGTGCTTCACTTATAATAATCTGTCAAATGTGTCGCTTGCTGTGCAACTACAGGAAGTGCACACACCTTGATATTGGTTGATCATTCATTCTAGACAGACACCATATTGTCTAGTACTACAACTCAGTCTCTCGTAGGTCTTGGTTTAGCCTTTAGTACCTGTACATGGACAATTCGTTGGTGTCCCATGGATGTTTTTATTTACTTATTTGCATTCAGTAGCCTCCAAGAACATACATTCAGTTACAAATCACATATTTCCAATTCCATTAATCATGCTGAAGGATAGAAATTGACCAGCATAGAATTTTACTCTGCTTTCTTCAGCATTTTTGTCATTCTGATAGAAGTTAGAGCTGAGTGGTTTCATAAATTGATTATGAAATAAAAGTTATCCCACTCTATCGTTGGTTTCTTTTTCAGCAGAATGATGGGTTCTTGGAACAAGAAACTGAAAGCAAGGATATAGATGACTCAGAATCAAATGATATTCAGCGATTTGAACTTTTGAGGAATGAACTAATGGAACTTGAGAAACGAGTTCAAAACAGTGCTGACCGATGTGAATCTGAAGCGGTACGTTGTGATTCTCCTTCAGTTAATTCTTGACCATTTGTATGCACAGAAATATGGGTTCACTTTCAATTATCCTACTTATTTTTGGTTTTATGATTGATAGTGCCTTTTACAGTTTAATGCTTTTTCCGCTCCCTACTTTTGGTGCAATTGTAAGACTGACAGGTTGTTCTTTGAATCAAAATTGGTTTGTTATGAGGAATACTCATAATGATGGCTTTGCCTGAATGGACTTATTTTATGTTTTATTCCTACTTAATCCTACTTATTCATTGAGTTTTGGTCATCTTTTACGTCTGTTGCAGTCTCTTTCTAATACACTTTGATTTAAGGAAGTATGTAAAGAGGATGATTTTTTAAGGAATTATTCAATATATTAGAGGTGAACTATAAACTTTAGGCACTTAGAATCTATTTCATGCACTTCAGTTCATAATTACGTGTTTATAGTTGATTACCTTTTTCTGCTCACCTTAAGGCTATTAAAAATACTGTATATGTTGATTCAAAGCTTTCACGCAGGACGAAATTCAGGTTAAAAATGGTGCATCCAAATACGGTAATGATGGTAAAGGCACTGGGTTGGTTCAGACTCAGAAGAAAGATGGTCTTATTGAGAAATCATTGGATAAGCTGAAAGAAACAAGCACAGTACGAATATCTCGTCCCTCTATATTTGCCTATTAAGATTTCATATATATTTCGTTACCTTTCTTTCCGTATAACGGTTCTAAGATGAAATGACATGTTATTCTGACAATCAATCAAGTTGCAAACTAAATTGTTTCTTCCACTCTTGAGTTTAAACAGCATTTTTTTAACACGAGTTTGTTATATAGCTTATCTATCTGCAGTCTTACTTAATTGAGGGAAAATCACATTTCAAGTTATTTAATGTAATTTGGACTGCCAAATATTTCTTGTACGACTCTATATATTAATCGACAGGCCATGCATCTCGATCACTAATAGGCGACTTGCTATGAACTTTATTATCTAGTCAATATGAATGGAGGATAAAATAATCCATTCTATTGTAATAACAATAATAATAATTATTATAATTTTTTTGCTAGTTTCTCAAATTCTTTTACGTTCACGAGCAGGATGTTTTGCAAGGCACTCAGCTTCTAGCCATTGACACTGGTGCTGCTATGGGGTTACTTAGGAGGGTTCTAATAGGGGATGAATTGACAGATAAAGAAAAACAGGCTCTGCGAAGAACACTGACTGATTTGGCATCAGTTGTCCCGATCGGTATTCTCATGCTCCTTCCGGTAAGCAGTGACGATATAATACTTGTCTCTAATTGTGTGTGTGTATTATATATTCAATAAGCTGAATATTTAATGCCTTCTGTGTGTGTGTGTGTGTGTATATATATATATATATATATATATATACTTACAGGTGACTGCAGTTGGTCATGCTGCTATGTTGGCTGCAATTCAACGTTACGTGCCTTCATTGGTCAGTAGTATTTAAGTGAAACCCTCTAAAGTTTTGTTTACTCTTTTAATTTTGAAACACGTGCTATCTTTATTTTTCTCGACAGATACCTTCGACATATGGACCTGAAAGGTTAGACCTGTTGAGGCAGCTGGAAAAGGTAAAGGAACTAGAAAGTGACGTAAGCATCAACGAAAATGCAGAGGAGTGAACCCAACCAAAGCTTCGGGGGAGATATTTTACTCCTTTTGTGCCCTACATAATCGACATTTTCACACGCCTCAGTCATAATCAAATACACCATGTTTGGAAAAGAAAACTGGATATTTTTCGTATTTTCTGTTTGTATGGCTAATATTGTAAATATATATATCGGTGTAGTTTACCTGAATTTCGAAACTTTTTGTAGTCCGTTTATGGTTGTTCTCTACTCATACATAGCTCGATTGAAGAGTAACTTTGATCTCTTCACCTTGTCACTGGTAACAATCAAAATTTGATACAAAACACAGACATAGAGCGGCAAGTTTACCACACCTCCACCTATCCGTAATTACCAAAATTCCTCCGATATTTATTTCCGTCTTACACCAACCCCTTGATTTGATTTTTCATGAAATCTTAGTTCCCCTTCAGAGAATATTCTCCAAAGAATGTCGATTCTACACCAGTAACCTCATCTTCTTCAACATCACATTGTAGTTTCACTACCTACACTTCTTGGGTTTACTAATGTGAACCATCATGGCTTACATAGGCCATTTTCTAAACATATGTGCATGACTACCTTAATCTGTTCCATGCAACAGGAGTAGAATCGGCATTTTTCAGAGAATATTCTCTGGTATCGGAAAGAATCCATGAAACATTACACAACAATGGTGTTCGTGTAAGACGAAAACAAACGTCAGTGGAATTTTGGTAGTTACAGATAGGTGGGGAGGATGTGTTTTTAATAATTTAGTGTAAATTCATGGAGATTTTTGTATTTTACCCTAGTTTTATTATTTTTTAAAGTGAATAAAATGATTATTTAATTATATGACAATAACGATTATAATAAGAAAATTATTATACTATTATAATAAATGTTTTAGTAATATTTAAACTAAAAATGTCAATATTCATACAAATCTGGTAATATAAATTTACTCGGCAAAAGATTATAAAAACGTAATCATCATAAAATCAAATTAATGTTAAAGAAATGAAGCAATTAATAAAATAAAATTTAGATAAAAAATTAAAAACGAAGAAACTTGTAAATACAATTAAATATGCACGGTTGACAAATAAACGGTTTGATTTGAATTTTGAACTTTTTATAATTGAAAAATAGGTGGAGAAAAAGATAATTAAAATAAATTAATTACAAATTTGTCATTAGGATTGTTTATGATTAAGATTATGAGTTGAGGCTGCCTTAATAATTCTGACAAAAAAGCAAATTTCTGACAAACAAAAATTCAGTGGAGTCTAAGTCAAAATCTCGAGAGAGAGAAGGAATCCCAACAACAAATCTCAGTACTTCTCTTTTCCCCTCTTTTCAAATCCAACAATCAATTTATGAAAGCTGGAAGAAACTGGAATTCATCGTTTCGAAGTTCAATCTCCAACAGCAAGCAAGCATTGGTCGGCTGCTTTTGATCAAACCCGTAATTAATTGGATCACTATTTGACAGTGCGTACTATGTACCCTACCTCAATCTCAATCTGATTCAAGGTAATTAATTACATGAATACGCCTACGTATGGATCCAATTTCCGTCTTCTGTTGCCCCTCTTTCATTTTTTTTTTTCAATTTCTTCGAGAAAAATCCCGCAATTATTCGAACATTATTCACCAAATCAAGATTTTGTTCAATACATACGGGACTATCGCAATGTTTAGGGGCGATTGAAGCTCGATTTGATGCGAATTGCTTGCGATTTCGACTGGGTAGCGTTCTTTTTTCGCGATTTAGGCACAATTCTGGCCGAATTTGGTGCGTTCATATTCGATTTAGGTCGGGATTTGTGTGATGTAGACTGGGTCTCGCTATTTAGAACTTGAATTTTGAAACTTGAATCTAGATTTGTTTTGAAATGCTAAATTTTTAACCGATTTATTGCAGGATCACGATTAACCTATATTACTGGGTATTATATTCTGTTATATTTCAAATGTCTCTATATATGCAAATGTGGTTCGTAATTTCTGTTACTGATTGTAATTTGATGCTGTCTGTGCTAGGCTACAATGTCCGCCACCCCAAGACAAAACAGCCTCGGCACTGGCGGTGTCCCTTGGAATCAGGATGCAGAATCTCTTTTCCGGACAAAACCCATCTCAGAAATCCGAAATGTCGAAGCAACCACCAGGAAGCAGATTCAAGATAAGAGTGAGGAGCTCCGCCAATTGGTCGGAAACCGCTACCGCGATCTCATTGACTCAGCCGATTCCATTGTTATAATGAAGTCATCCTGCGAGTCCATCTCTGCAAATATCTCCGCCATCCACCACTCCATTCTCTACTCTCTCTCCTCCCCCGATATTCCAAGGTCCCCTCACTCCTCCACTTTTAACCCTGTGGGAGCCCGTATTTACGGAATTGCCTGCCGGGTCAAGTACTTGGTCGACACCCCTGAAAACATCTGGGGCTGCCTCGACGAATCTATGTTTCTTGAATCTTCTGCACGTTACATCCGTGCAAAGCACGTGCATTTCAACTTGCTGAACTACAAGGATAACAATAACGTGCTCTCGAATTTCCCGTTGTTGCAACACCAGTGGCAAATAGTGGAAGGTTTCAAGGTTCAGATCTCGCAGAAGAGCCGTGAGAGATTGTTTGATCAAACCATTAATCTTGGAATTGGTGCTTATGCAGATGCGCTGGCGGCTATTGCCATTGTGGACGAACTCGAACCGAAGCAAGTTTTGACCCTGTTTGTGGAATCGAGAAAATCAATCATGTCTCAAAAGCTGAGTGCGTGTTGTCGTGATGCGAATGCTGATAGTTCTGAAGTAATTTCCGTCTTCTGCTATGTTCTGAAGATAATTCAAATTACTGTATGCCAAGTGGGGGAATTGTTCTTGCAAGTGTTGACTGATATGCCTTTGTTCTATAAAACCATACTGGACACTCCACCTGCTTCTCAGTTGTTTGGGGGAGTACCAAACCCCGATGAGGAAGTGAAACTGTGGAATTTGTTCAAGGACAAGTTGGAGTCCGATATGGTATTTCTTGGTCGGGATTTTATTTCCAAGACTTGTTCTGATTGGCTGAGGAATTGTGGGAAGGAGATCACTAGCAAGATTAGTGGAAGGTACTTGATTGATGTAGTGGGCAGTGGGTATGAGCTTTCTCTGGCTGAGAAGTTGATAAGGGAGACAATGGACAGTAAACATGTCTTGGAAGGTAGTTTGGAGTGGCTGAAGAGTGTTTTCGGTTCCGAGATTGAGTTACCATGGAAAAGGACGCACGAGCTAGTCTTAGGTGAAGAGTCGGATATATGGGCTGATATTTTTGAAGATGCTTTTGTCCAGAGGATGAAAGGGCTTATTGACTTGAAATTTGATGCATTAAGTGGAGATGTTGATGTGGCGCAGTCAGTTCGATCAATTGCTAAACCTCCCGATGATCGCACCGATTCTGAAGATTACTTGAAGAGATTACAAGTTGGTGGTGGCGTTTGGTTCATTAAACCCAATGGTAAAATGCTAGGTTCTGTGCCTGGCTCAAAACTACACCATTCCCAAGACAATGATTTGCTTAGCTGTCTCGGTACTTATTTTGGCCCAGAAGTAAGCCGGATTAAAGATGCTGTGGATAATTGCTGTCAGAAGGTTCTAGAAGATCTCCTCAGTTTCCTGGAGTCACCCAACGCGCCACGTAGGTTAAGGGATTTGGCACCGTACGTACAAAACAAGTGTTACGAAACTCTATCAACCATATTAATACAACTCAAGAATGAGCTTGACCACCTATACAGCGACCTAAAAGATGAAAAAAAAGATGATGCCTCGTCACTTTCTCCTGCTATACTTGTTGAGAGATCATTATTTATTGGGAGACTTCTCTTTGCATTTCAGAAGCACGCTAGGCATATCTCCGTGATACTCGGTTCACCTAGGTCATGGGCGAGTGAAGTTTTGACAGCTGTCACGACTCTGTCCCCAATTGGATCAAAACATATTAGAGTGGCAAGCGGCTCGCAAATGACCGATAGTCCTGGGAAAAAGATGCTTGATTCCAGCAGGAAACAGACTTCTCTAGTAATGAATGCTTTATATGGAGTGGATGATAAGTCGAGCCCACAACTTGAAGATTTAAGGCAGACAACCCAAGATCTAAGCGTCAGAGCTTACAATCTGTGGATAACATGGGTTTCTGACGAACTTTCAAACATATTCTCCAGAAATCTCAAACAGGACGATGCCTTGTCATCCACTGCTCCAGTCAGAGTAAGTGATCTATAATACTGGACACGTTTTCTGTTGAATGATATAGCTCCCTTATATTGCTGTGACTTATTTGAATTCGCAACCATGCGCAAGATTATTATTAATATTTCTTGGAAATTGTAAACCAAACTTATTTATTTTTTTGCTAGTATCAGCACAAGAGAGTTGCTTTGTTGTGTCTGAGTTGTTTCTTATTACTTGGCAGGGTTGGGAGGAGACTGTAGTCAAACAGCAAGAACAATCCAGTGAAGGGCAGTCAGAGATGAAGATCTCTCTTCCTTCTATGCCTTCTCTATACGTGACATCATTTTTATGCTATGCGTGTGAAGAGATTCATCGTGTTGGTGGCCATGTAATTGATAAACCAATTCTTCAGAATTTCGCAACAAGGCTTTTCGATAAGGTACTTGGTGACCCATTTTGTTAGTTATATTGGTAACTGTGGCTTCATTACTTTTTGTTAATCGTTGTAATCTTTGGCCTGCACTCTTTCTTATGTGACAACATTAGCTTCTAACACTTTTTTAGATCTTTTTGGGACAAAATTCATGTACTTAATCTAATAGTGAAGTGGTTTTCTTTGTGTATTCTACACAGTCATAGAAACCTCCTTCCTATTAGATGACTAGGTAGTTTCATATTTAGTTTTCCTCTTGTACACGATTTTAACTTCCGTTACGCTTGCATAGGTTGTTGCAATTTATGAGGCTTTACTGTCAACTGAAGAAGTTCGTGGGTCTCAAATGTCAGAGAAGGGTGTTCTACAAGTCTTGTTCGATTTGAAATTTGCTGCTGATGTTTTGTCTGGAGGTAGTTACAATGCAAATGAGGATTTATCGGAAATTTTTACCGGGAGATCTCCTTTTAGAAGGAAGCAGAAAGCACAGCAATCCAACACGGTCATAGGAGAACGTACTAAACCGTTGGTAAATCAGCTTTCACAGAGGCTAGACCCCATTGACTGGCTAACGTAAGTTGTTTGGAACTGATTTTTTGTTCTTGAGGGATTTTTTATTATTTAAGATGCAATCTTTACAATTTTTTTTTTATTTCTCCTAAACTTGTTTTATTTGCAAAAATTGCTATGCTGTTATATTCATTTTAAATGCAGTTATCTTACCGATTTCTTTGATACATCGAAGGTACGAGCCATATCTTTGGGAGAACGAGAGACAGGCATACTTAAGGCATGCTGTCCTTTTTGGGTTTTTTGTGCAACTTAATAGGATGCATATGGATGCTGTGCAAAAGCTACCCACTAATTCTGAATCGAATATTATGCGCTGCTCTGTAGTACCTCGTTTCAAATATCTCCCCATCAGGTTCTCATCATTATACTTTACGAGAAAATTTACTAGTTCATATGTTGATTTTTTAGTTGCTAATCCTTTGAGTTGTTTCCCGTTTTTTCCATTCAAATAGGTTCGATTTCTGGTACTAAATGTTTTTATGTTTATTTATTTATTTATTATTATTATCCAGTGCTCCAGCATTATCTGTGAGGAATTCAGCGAGGACATCTGTGTCGGCATCTACAGATGATGTTTACTCGAGAAATTCATGGAAAAGTTACACGAGTGATGAGATATCCCGAAGTACAGATGTGGATGAGGACTCGAGTTTAGGTGTGGCTGCACCATTTTTGAAGTCCTTCATGCAGGTATATTTTCTATATCCTAATATTGTTTATATTCTTTGAAAAATTTCATTCCGGTGGTGCATATTTCATCATAGGATTCCTCATAAACGTTGTTCTTACAATGCACACCTTCGGTTTCAGTTTGATCAGTGGCTATATATACTTGCGTATTTGGACATTGTAATGAAAATTTCAAAAATAAAACTGTAACTGTTAAATTTGTATGCGGCCGAACAATATTTTCAGGTAGGGAGCAGATTTGGGGAGAGCACATTAAGGCTGGGGTCGATGCTAACAGATGGTCAAGTAGGAAGGTTTGGTGACATATTACCTGCTCAAGCTGCCGGTCTCCTTTCCTCCTTCACTACTGCCAGATCAGATTATTGACCAAAATCATTGACCGTGGAACTAACCATGGTTAGTTTCGTCTCCTCCTCGTGAAAGCAACATAAACGAGTTCAACTTGTTGGAAAATTCGATTCTTTAGGTGCTTTTAAGTCTTGATGATGCTTTGATATTGTTGAGTGCCTAAATGTTTTGAACTTCCGTGTTGCTTTTGGCTATAGTTGATTGAAGCTCTGGATCGAAGCGGCAATTTTTTCAACTGGTTTTGCAGAAGCAGTTTTTTGCCTTGGTATGTAAGCTTTGAGAAGGAATCATATGCTGAGGTGAATTTACATATATAACCTTGTGCGTTGTGTGAGGAGATTACAAGAGCTTGAGACGTAGGCCAATCTTCATACCAAATGGTGTAATATCATGTAATATATTACCAACTTTCACCCCCTACCCCCCACCCACCCACATTCCATTGTTTCATTTGAGAATTTACTATCTATATATTGAAATTTTGACTTATGATGGAATAAATTTGATTAACAAAAATATAAATAGATATATATATATATATATATATATATATATATATATATATATATATATATATATATATATATATATATATATATATATATATATATAAGGTTTTTGGCTATTTGAACTCCACCAAATTTCTTAGTCCACTCCACCATTTTATGCTTTCTCAATTATACCCTTCACTTCATCAACTCCACAACCTAAGCAGGATTTGTTTTTTTTTTAAGTTACACAATAAAACCTCATCCCTCTCTCTCCACCGCCGCATTCATAGAAGTCCGCCGTAGACCTGCCAAACCCTGACACACTAAACACCCTTTAGCTTCCACCTCCGCCATTGAAGACGGCGTCGATCGTCGTCCTTAGAAGCATTTATCGGGCAATGGGTAACGTAATACTCTTTTTGATTTAAAGAATTTATTCTTTTTATCACACGCCTATGAATTAAGAAGCCCTAGAACCCCGATACGCCGAAGCCTCTTACTCCGGTCCTTAGGCTAACTACGAACAGTCAGGAGTTGCGTGAAGAGAAGAAACGTCGTAAGTACAAATAGTTAAGTAAAACCACGCAGCGGAGATCCACAAAGATTAACCCGATGCCTAGGGCTTACGACAATGAGAAAGAAAAAAAGTTAAAAACAACACTTCATTTAATCATGCCTGTAGACAGGGGCGGACCCAAGGTATGCCTTGGGGGAGCCTCCGTCGCTGCAGATTTTTTTTTTTACCCCTTTTTTATTATTTTTTTAATATTTTATGTTATTTATCTATTAATTTATACCGTTTAGCCTCTTAAAGTTTAAATTTAGTACCATTTTAATCCACAAAAAAAATTTTAGCCCCCCACCCAATACTCCTTGAGTCCGCCCTGGCTGTAGATATCTTTCAATTTTACATTTGACCGAATATGGAGTAAGTTATATCGAAGAAAGTTATGTCTAATTAAATAATGCTAGTAAGTTAATGCATCACAAAGATCTCCCTTTAAGTTTAGTTTTATAATAAAGAAACGAATTTGAAGTAATTAAATATTATTTGTAGTTTTTACTAAGAAAAGTAATAACATTATGCTTTGGTATGTAAAATAATAAAATATTGGAAAAATAATAATGTTATTATTTTTTACATGAAAAAGAGAAAAAAACTATTTTCCATTATTAATTTTTTTTTTTTGGAAAAATATTTTAGTAAAAAATAAAAAAGCAGAAACTATGAAGGAAATAAAAACATCGAAAAATGAATCATTTTATATTTAATTAAATGACAAAAAAATTCCAAGCTTGATTTACATGATTTCAAGCGGGGAGGCAAGGGCCCATCAAAACCTGGCAACAAGCAAAAAAATTGACGAGAAAAAAACAGGTAATGAACCATTTCCATGGTTTCTGAATCTCATCCTCCGTTTATTTCGTGCCTCTGAAGCCATGTATCTCGCGAGTTATGAAGTGTTTGACCATGTTTTGTTAAACATAATTTATGCCGACGAACTGCTCGATGAAATGCCTCAGTGATGAAGAAACTTTTTTGAATCCGTAAAGTGTTAGCGGAGAGTTGTTTTCAGTAGAACCCACCATTATTCCATCTCGAATCAAATTTCCTACTGATTTGCCTTCATTTCAGCTTACAGTACACTTGCTTTTTTTTTTTTTTTCCTTTTTTTTTTCTTTTCTGTTTTTCTTGTTTATGTAGTAAGGTGGTGTTTCATGCAAGTGCTAAGATAGGAAATGAAGTTCAACGTGGTGTGCAAGAAACTCTACAATTATGTTCGGTACGATCTCAAGGAAATAGCGTTTCCCTCCTCCTTGCCGGATCCTCCCCACATCAAAAAGCGCGGAATACTTTCGTGGAAAGAGCGCTTCCTTGTTAGTACTCCCAATCGAAATGTTTGCACTATTGTACCATTTTATTATTCAATGGTGTTTTGTTCGAATGATTTTATGTTCACGGGCTCGTAAAATTGAAACGAGATGAAATTCTGATTGGATTGCCTAAAAAATTGAAACTTAATCGTTGTATTAATTGCCATGTGCTTGTGTGTGTGTGTGTTGGGATGGTAATTTATATGACGTTTAATTGTTAATATAGGTGTTGAAGGAAGCTTCTAGATTATATGGTGCGAGCTGGGTAAGAGATATTGGTCCGGAACTTAGGCCACACGAGTACAGAAAGAAAACAGAGAGTGAAGAAGATAAATCCAATCGGGAAAAAGGCGCACCTAACGAGAGGGAGCCATCAACACTAGAGGATCTTGGTACGAAAAATTTGCTTTTTATTTTTTGGAATGAAAATGAAGATAAATTTGCATTTTAAAGGAAACTGAAACGATTACTGTTTCTATCTTGATTTTTGCCTTGCCGTATGTTCATCAATTCAGATGTCGGTTCTTAAAGATACTTAGACGAATCCATGGGCACATCACTGTTTCCCTTATTTATATTATCTTTAGCTTGCCTTTCTATATCGACTTTCGTGTTACGTTTTTGTTTCTTTAGCTTAAGATATCGACTTCAGATATTGTGCTTTTGTTGCATTCCATTGTAGGCCGCTATAGTAGTTTCTGTAAGTACGAATATTTTAAAGTGTAGTTGATCGAATTCGTCGATACGGAGAATTTTATAAAATTTGATGAAATTTAAAACTAGTTTGATTTGTACGTAATGTTGTGTTTCCATTTTTTTCTCGTATAAAAATATGTTCTCTATTCTGCATGCAACATATGTTCTTTTCGGTTTTTCGGCTGTGAATGGTGGATTATATAGCTGTGGCTGCAAAGGGGGGAATGGAGAGTATAAGGCCAGCTCTGCAGAGAGTGTACATGACTAGGGCTTCGGCTTATAGAGATGCTCTGAGAAGTTTTATCGAAGGTTATCAAGAAGGTATACATCAAGTTATGGAGAAGAAGGAAGATCACAAATCTCAAGGAGCCGACACTCCAAAAGGATCAAATTAATTTCTCTGAAAAATGAAAAAATAAATCGGTGAGTCCCCTTTCTCCACGTTTTACTGTTCGGATAATTAGTTATGGTTGAATTAATCTGAACAAATTTGGACAGCCAAATCGTTTTTTGTAGTTCCACTTCTGTGAGAAAATCTGGATCCTACATTGAACTCAATAAGTGCAATGTAAAAAAAAAAAAAAAAGTAGTGTCATACTTGCATATCGAATACTTAGATATTCTAAAATATAATTTTATAGTCCTAACGTTAAAGTAAAAATAATAAGTAGGGGAATTATAAATTCAAAAGTTGTAGTAGACTCAAGATAATCACGTTGCAAAGGCATATTATGCCATCCTAATAAGATATATAGATAATCAAGTCAAATAAATGTTAAATACATATTGCTATCCTCCAACGGTATATGTTACGGAGTTGCAATACAGTCATCCTAAGAGATAAAAAAAAATGATGCATTAGAAGTGGTTCATATTCAGCCTTTCAGCAAAGAATAAATTGAACTCAATTCGAAACTGAATTAGCAGTTCAAATCAAATTAGGACCGGTACGGTCATGATTTAAGTGGCGTAGAAAATCGAGAGACGAGGGCATAGAAGTGAGACAGGGGATCTAGTAACGACCCTTTTTTCTTTTCCATGGGTTTGTCTCTTTTATTAATTCCAAGTCTTTTTGAAGATGATATTTATTTGGTAGCAAGAACTAATAATTACTGTTTATTTTCCCATTTCAGATGATGATTCTCTCTGAATAACAGACCCATTCAGTGGATTCACATAGTGCCTCGAATGGTGGTGGTGACTTTGGTGGGTGGGGTATATCCCTCGTCTCATTTCTTCAACTCTTTGTATTATTACGATAAAAGTCTCCGGTCTTTTTTCCCATCCAATGAGCCATATTAGTTAGTAGCATCGACTTTTTATCATTATCGTACAGTTTCACTTGGTTTGATAATCGTTTGTCCGTTACTCAGTTCCATTCATGCTAAACCGGTGATTACGCTTTGTGTGTGTGTGTGTGTGGCTCTCGAAATCAACTTCCGTTTCGACTAAAATTACAGTGTCGATACACTAAAGCGATTGTTTTTCGTTTACTTAATTATATATAACTTGGCATTTGACTCTTGGAGCATGAGTGGGATGGATGTCTTCTTCAAGTCAGATATATAACATGAAAATTCTGACCCAACTGTTTCCACTTTCCACCCACCAGGTACTGCAACTTTATCCTTTCCCCACCTTGTGCATGACATTTATATATAATATATATATATATATATATATATATATATATATATATATATATATATATATATATATATACTATTATAAATTGTTGATTACTCCTTATCAAGAAACTGTGGTTCCAAGTGAATAGGCTGGGTGCTCCTAAAGGAGGGTGTGAATGAATAGAGTATTGATTTGAATATTGCCTAACTTAGATTGCAGAAATAGTTGAATTAGGGTAAACTTCTATTTTTGAACAGAAAAAATACATGTTTGTATAGTATTTAGTCCATATTTCCACATTATGCTATGTGTTATCCGTGCTTGTTTGGCTAAACTTATAAGCTGTTAAAAATAGCTTATAAGCTTTTTTAAAGTGTCTAGTAATTATTTTTAAAGAAAGATGCTGATAATTAATAAAAAATACATTTTTTGAAATTTAAATTAAAAAAATTAATTTAAAAAATAAATTCTCTAAAACAACAAAATATTGTCACTTGTGTACAACTCTGAAAATATTGTCTTCTTCCATATTTATTAGGTCAAGAGTTAGTTGTACCCAATATATTTTCCTTTTATACTTGAGTAGTTGTAAAACACTAAGGGCAAATATTGTTTTGCGAAAAACTCATTCATTTAGTAGGTAAATTTGACACCGTAAGAATGAACATATTACATAGCTGAGGGGTTATAATTATTCAAATATTAAAAGTTTTTTTTTTCGTAATTTGAGCATATATCAGGTGAGTGACTGTAATTTGTTCAAACATTAAACATCATTAAGACAACCTATTTTTTGAAGTAAGGCAATTCGAACGTAGCTCCATAAAATCCAAAGCTTTTTACACGGTTTGATATTACTACAACTACTACTACTTTGCAGGTTTTATTTTCTGTCAATTAATCACATTAATAAATGCTCAGCAAAAATTACTACATCCCAAAAAAAAAAAAAAAGACATTAAATTTTGTTCCAAGAAAAGTACTAAACTGCAGCTAGGGAATTGCCATTTGTCCCATCAAAAGTAAAAGTCTCTATCTCCCACACCCACTCCCCATTTCTTACCCACCATATACATACATGTATATATATATATGTATATATATAGTGCTGTAATAATGGTGATTATGATCTCGTCTGAAAAATCTTGATGCAGAATCACAACAGTAGCAAAATTCTATTTTTATGATTCGTACAACTATATGTTAGAGATTCTTGATTGCAACCATTCCATCCCTGCCATCTGGGACACCTCTCTCTCTCCTCTTTCTCTCTCTCTCTCTCTACATATATATATAGATATATATAATATAGAGAAAGTGGGACCCACAACACCCTATCTTCTCATACATCTTCACTTTCCCAGTTGGGGGTTTATCTTTCTTACTCCTTTTTTCCACTCCTGGGACTTTGTGAGTAGTGTCTTTTCTGATTGTTTTGTTTCTCTACTCTAGTGAGAGAAACTAATTACCCCTGAAAATCTGGGATTTTTCACCCCCTTTTCTCTCTCTCTCTCTCTCTCTCTCTCTCTAAATATATCTTTACCTTATTTTTTTGTTCTTGTAGTAGTAAATTTGGACTGATTTATGTTGCAAGAAATATATATATATATATATATATATATATATATATATATATAGGGCATAGCCGAACAAAAAAAGTCACTTCCTGCAGGAGCTTTTATCCTTGCCGATATACATCATCATTCCCTCCTGAAAAACTGATATCCTGTTCCAACAAATTTATATTTAATTATTTTATAATCTGAAAATAAATAAATAAAAAGAAAAATTAAAGAGAAGATGATAGCATTTGATAAGCATGGAAATAAATACATACATATCACAAATTCATGCCCATCCCCCTATCTATGGTGGACCATCAATATATATAATCCCATGTAGTGTGTGTAGACTATACTGACTAAAGCAGATAAGGGTTGTGGAGCACAACAATTCAGTGCTATTTCCAAACAACCATAACCACCTCTTTTTATTATTATTATTATTATTACTATTATTTTAAATAATGAAGGAACTCGTAGCCAATTATATAATTACACGGGAAAGCTTCGTTTTTTGTACGATAGAGATTAAAGATTATGACTTAACAAAGAGACACTTAATATTAATTAATCAAGATTGATTTAGCTACGCTACCAATCAATCCATGGTCCTACATGCATGCATATGTAACCGCGTCATCTCCTAATAGACAGATATAAATAAATAAATAAATTAATTAATCAAAACCCACAAAAAAGTAATGAATTGGCTTCTTTCTCATGATTCCAAACTTAATAATATTTAATATTACCTACACCAATAAACCAACTTGAAGTTGCTAGCTTTACTAAATATTCTTATAAAGTTCAAGTATATGTGTATATATAAAATCTGCCCACTTCTCTCAAGTTGACATTAATATTAATTGTTAATTGATCCCGCAAAAGTGGCATATTTGCAGACCCCACCCCAAAAAAAGAAAAGAAGGAATAGAAATATCTAATGGATATTTCAAAGTGTGGACCTTAATTAGCAGAATTTGTAGAGTGGACCACAAGACCAAACAGGTTGGAAATTTCTTACATGCTCTCTTCTCATATATCATAATTCATAACACACACTACTTGAAACCCTCCCTCTTTTGGCATTCTCTTACATTTAATGCTTTCTCACACCCCCCATTACTTTCTCTCTCATCTCATGCTATGGGGTGGGGGTGGGGTGGGGTGGGGGACTACCTACCTAGGTATTATTATTATATTATAATTGCAACTATCTAAATATTGTTTTTCCATTTCTTTTCATAAATGAATAACCAACTAGCTACTTAATTAATTAATTAATTGAGATTAATTAAACTGATAATAATCTAGTTATAGTACAGTGTTAGGGAGGTCAGGTGGGATTGATGAGAATAATGTATTGTGTTCTGTTTCAATAGGGGAAACAGCAAGATCATAATTGGAAATTGCACCACTTATTAATTTAATTAATCTGAAATAATATTTTTTTTTTAAAATTAAAAAGAAGGGCTAATAATAAGTAATAAAATATTAGTTGGGGGGTGAGATAAATATAATTACCATGTGATTATAGTGATGATGATTGTGATAGGGATGGTGGGGGTGACCCTGGGTCGACATAACGGGGGTGGATGGATCTGACACGTCATCTGCCAGCTGGCACTCCATGTTCACACCAAACAGCCTCAGCCTCTTGGGATTCCCACTTCCTGTTGTTTGCTTCTGTACTACTGGAACTGATCCTGTATGTGTGTGTAATCAATGTATATAATTAAACACGTTTTTTTTTTTTGAAATTAAATCAAATTTGGATTGTTTTTATATAATCTGGGATTATTACAATAGAAGAATGGGGGCAAATATATATCGATCTGCAGGCTTAATTTGCCTTATAAAGGGTTAAAAAGAACATATATCCCTATACATGTATTGAAGGAAATTTAGTTGAAAATTGGGAAGATGAATTGAAGTGTGCACCACGCGCACATCCAATGCGTGTGAAACAAACAAACACACACACACACAGGAGACAAAGACAGAAGTATTGCATGAGTGCCATGCGTCTGTCGTCTGCATCTGTAAGAAAATATAGCACCGGCCAGTACATACATACATGAAAATAGAGATATGCTTTTTGTATGTATATATAGGTATGTATATACCTGGATGAAGAGAGTGATTCGGTAGAGGAGAAGATGGCGTAATTTGATACTGGCCGCGGCTAATCGGATAAGGTTGCGCCGAATAGAACGCCGCCGCCCTATTCCAAACACCACCGGCGCCGCCGCTGGGGGTGCCGGATGAGGGTGCCGCCGGCTGAGAGGCTGCGGCGGCGTCCTGACCAGCGGCGGCAGTGGAGTTCCTCCGCCTCCAGCCGATGAAGAGGCGGCCGCTGTCGACGCGGTGGCGGGCGAAGACGACGATATCTCCGGCGTCGAGGCGTTTCTCCTTGACGAAGCGGCTCCAGCCCTTGGTGAGGACGTAGCTCTGGCTGCTGTTCCAGTACGAGTACCGGAACCGCCACGCTTTCCCGACCTCGTCCTCGAACCCCAGCAGCAGCCCGCTCTCGCCGGAGTCTCCGCCGCCGCCGTTCAGCGGGAAATGCTTCTCCGCGTGCTGCTTCGGTATCACGAGCCGGTTCAGCTTGCCGACGTCGCTCGGCGTCAGCGGCTTCTCGAACAGCCGGTCCTTGGGGATGATTCCACCCAGCTCCGATTTCTCGACCACGCTATCTTTCGTCGTCACTGCATCGCCATCTTCATCCTCATTATTATTATTGAGGTCGAATCCACCGGCCGCGGCGGCGTTCTGGCGGCAGAACATTGCTCCGCCGGCTGAGGCGGTGGAGTAGAGCTGGTGAGGGCTGAGCCAAAACGAGGCGGAATTATCGTCGGAGGCTTTGTGGTGGTGGTTGTTGGAAGAAGAGGATGAGGTGGTTTTGGGAGATGAATCCATGGTGGCGCGGTGGTGCAGCGACCACCACTGGGTTTCTGGAATTTCTGAAGAGTAGTGGTTTATCGACATTAATTAATAATTTCTCTCTCTGCAAAATTATATATGATGTGTGTGTGTGTGTGGAAATGTAATGGAAGCTTCACAGGCGAGGGTACTATACGGTATATATTGTTTTTGGAAAGTAGAGAGAGAAAGTGCGTGTAATAACAACTGTGTGTTTTGTTCTGTAATAATATTATATTATATGAAAAAATAGATATTTGGCGTGTGTGTGTGTGAGAGAGAAAGAGAGAGAGAGAGAGTGTGTGTGTGTGAGTACACGAACGATATAGAGAGAGAAAGAGAAGAGAGAGAGAGTAGAGAGAGAGAGGGGGAGTAGTTTAAGGTTCTTGCGTGAGCGACCTGGAAAAATCAATCATTATAATCAGTGCAATCCACTGTGCAACTTTTCAAGGCAACACGGAAATTAGGTTACAAAGGGCCTGCACCACCCGGGGAATATATTATTATATTATATAATTATAAAATAATAAAATAAAATGTTATTTGATTCTAAGGGGGGAATTATTACCAGTACTATATTAGTTTCTACTATTCAATGTCTTTGTGAAATAAAGAAACACTTGCCATGTTACTGTGTTGGTTACTACCCTCCAGTGGTGGGGGCCCACTCCTCTTTCACCAATTTATATATATATATTTTTTTTTCAGGGCATTTATATTTGTTCAATTATACAAGTAATTTGTTATTCATACCACCACTAGAGCAGAAATTAATTAACTTCCCGGGCCCAAATGCATTAAAACAAATCTATAGGGTTTATAATGCCATTATATTATAATGATATTCACAATGTATTTTTTTTTAAATCTCTATATAAAATAATAGGGATTCGAAATCTGTTGGGGGCCATGCTTTATATTGATTCCACCACTAACTGAAGGAAAAAAAAATGAATTACTAGAATTTCCCGGCACCATTTTATTTTTAGAATGGATTACTTACTAACCTATAAACTTAATAATATATAATTTACACAACATGGGATTTATGTTCCAAATACATGAGATCGATCAACCTAGAATTGTGGAATAAGTATCTTGAAATGAGGTCTATTCTATGCTACACCCGGTTAAGTTCACCGGGTTTCTAAGATTTCGACATGTGGCAATTAGTAAATTAATTAGTTAATTATATATTTTTAATTATTGTGAAATTAATTATTGAAAGAATCACTTTAAAATAGGTAATTAGGATCCTCTCTCAAAATCTTTCCTATTTTTTCTCCAATTACTCCATCTTTGACCCACTACTGCACTTCTTCTTCTTCGTGGTTCGATTGATTTTTGGCTTTTGATTTTCTTTCTTCTGGCTTCCGCAAACGAAACTCTGCAACGAATCTCCAACCTTCCCTGGTAGGAGCAAATTAGCTCTATTATTCACGTAAAATGCAAGGAATTCTTTGTGATAAAACATGAGTGTAAGTTTATATATCTCACGCATATGCATTATGAGAGAAAACATATATCATTAAAAATCATAGATTTCAACACACCACTAATAAGTAAAGACATGTCAGTCAGATCATTGTTATGTAGTTATTGGATATACATGTACTATAAAATTATTATTTTTTATTTATTAAATTTGATTATATTATTTATTTACAGGTATGGAACAAAATTCATTATCCAACGACGATAATGCAAATTGCGGTTCAAAGGTACATAACAAATCTTTGATAGAGGAATTTGAGCATAAGTTAACAGTTGGGCAAATAGTAACAAGTCCTGAAAATGCATATCTATTATATTTTGAATATGGGCGCATTAAAGGTTTTAGTGTGAGAAAAGGAAAACAAGAGTATTTTCATGATAATAGTAGAGAACTTTATATGAAGGAGTTTGAATGTTCTTGTAAAGGTACAAAGGATGAAAAACGTAGTAATAAAGGTAAACAACCAATATACGTAAAGATGGAAACGAGATTTGGTTGTAGAGCAAGGCTTAGAGTTGGAAGAAAAAAGAATGAAGAGTGGAAAGTTGTTATTTTTTACATTGAACATAATCATGACATGGTCACACCTGACCAAAGTTATATGTTAAGATCGGCTCGTAATATTTCATATGTTAAAGTAGATACTTTAAAAGCACTGGTGGATGCTGGATTTTCAGTAGCTAACGCGTATACTTATATGCAACAAGAATCACATGGGAGGGAAAATGTAGGTTTTGCTAAAAAAGATGCATATAATTATATTAATCGTTTAACAAAAGATCACAAACTAGTTTATGATGGTGATGCTGCTGAACTAATTCGATATTTTAAGAATAAATCGAATGAAGATGCATTATTCTATTGGGATTTCCAGGTTGATGAAAACAATAGGATGTGTAACTTTTTTTTAGAGATGGTCGGTGCCGCCTTGATTATGAAGCTTTTGGTGATGTTCTTTCAATTGATACAACTTATAAAACCAATAAATACAATTTGATTTGTGTACCTTTCACTGGCATTAATCATCATAAGAACAATGTGATGTTTGGGTTGGCTTTTATGTCAAATGAAACAGAGTCGTCTTTTCAATGGTTATTTAGTACGTTTCTTGAGTCTATGGGTGGTAAACAACCTGAAAGTGTCTTCACGGATCTATGTCAAGCAATGATGAATGCAGTTGAAATTGTATTTCCAAATTCGCTACATCGATTGTGTCAGTGGCATATATGTCAAAATGCTCCCTCACATTTCGGTAGTTTAAATAATAATTCTGAGTTCAAGAATATGTTTTATAAGTGTATGGAATTTTGTGAATCTGAAGAAGAGTTCGAGAATGTATGGAGTAAAATGATCGTTGATTACAATCTGTATGACCATTCATGGTTGAACAACATGTACAAGTTGAGAAATAAGTAGTCTACGGCATTTAGTAAACATAAATTCAGTGCTGGACTTAAAGCTACATCAAGAAGCGAGGGCACAAATTCTACTTTGAAAGTTGGTGGTAAAAGTACACATAGTTTGTTTGAGTGTGTTGTTCGATTCGAAAAAGTTCAGAACACGTGGCGTCAAGATGAAAGAGAAAATGACTTTAAATGCCGGCGTGGAATGCCGACACTTGTTGTAAAAACTAATTATTTACTGAGAGATGCTGCAGCAGTTTATACTCACACTATATATAACATGTTCCAATCAGAACTGTTAAATTCATTGGGGATCGATCTTGTTGGAGAGCCTTTACGTATTGATACTTTAATCCAGTTTAAAGTAAGATCACAAGGCAGTTCAGGTCAAGTTTGTAAAGTTGAGTTTTCTTTGGACTCGCATGAAGTAAATTGCAATTGTCAACTATTTGAATCTGTTTGTATATTGTGCAAGCATGCATTGCTGGTTTTTAAAGAAATGAATGTGCATAAATTACCCACAAGAGGTACATAAAAGTGAGATGGACAAAAGGTGTAAGAGATGTAGTGCACTTCAAGATGAGAACTTATTTGCAAGTAACCAAGAATCTGATACAGTGTATGTAAATCATACAATGAGATTTTGTTATGATCTTACGATGCGGAGTAAATTTCATCCATAAGCTAGAGATTTAGTGAGAATTGAGTTCGAGAGTGTCCTTTAGAATCTGAATGCATTACTTGATAAATTAGATTTGAGCAATACTCATGCAGATATAGTGATAGACGGTTCTCAAGTAAGTTCAGATGCTATGGAAGAACAAAGTGTTATAAACGATGAGCTTGTGAGGAATCCTCTTTATGTGAAGTCAAGAGGAATGAATAATCTTCGTCTCCCAAGCCATTGGGATTTGAAAAACAAAAGAGGAAAAACGAAAACTGAGTCTTCAAGTAAGTTTATCAAATATTTTAAGTTGAATTTCTATTTTGTTGTATTAATTATTTTTGTCATATCTTAGAAAGAGCAGCAAAATGCACAAAAAAGAAAGCTCAGACCTTTGAAAGAGCCGTTAATGTTCGACATTTACGATACACTGCTCATCCTTTCGGAGATATTTCAACTGGTTCTCAAGCTTGTGAACCTCGATCTGATTGGTTGCATCATACGCCATATCCGACAATGCATGTGGTGAGCCATTTATTTAGTCTCTAATTATAATAAATATATTTGGCATCTTATAGTTTATGTATTGGATATCTAGGAACAAGGTCAAGTTTTTAATTTCGGCCAAGGCCATCCTTCGCCTTACATGTACCAACATTGGGGTGTTAATATATCACAGGTATATGTATTATGCTATTTTGTTAGTTTTGGTATTTTAGTGAGATAATTGTTGATAAACTATATATACTTAACTTACTAACTAGTTGTGTTTAATTTCCTCAGGGATCTGTTAGCAACAAGGAGGGGGGCCCCAATTTTCACTAGGATATTTTCTTATCATAGTTTTTTATTATAGTTCAACAAGTGTATTTTAGTTTCAGACAATTATTTTGTTGTTGGGAATTTGGAGAGAGTTTTCTTTTTACAATGTTAAAGTTTTAATTTATCTAGTATATGCCAAACTTTGATGAGTAAACAGATGGCAACTCTATAACTTCTGCAGATTCGATATTTAAATGAATAGTATTCTTGTAATTTTCTATGTTTTTGTTATATTAATTAGTTGTGAACGATTACATCCGTGTTATTTGATTTGAACTACTAAGTACATATTCTGTCAATGTCAAGCTCATTTATTTGACTAGGTTTTGTACAATAGTCAACACTCAATTATATTGTCAAGCTTGTATGTTTTTAGTTTAGACACAGTGAAAAAGTAATACAATTTATAGTTCTAACACCATATCTCTCTTCAAATATTAAAATCTTTAACAATGGGTACAAATGCAAAAGTGAACGAAATTACAATATTTATACTAAATTTCACAATGATCGTACAATTTGAGTACTTAAGGTTCTAGATTGCCCAACTCCGGTACAGAAGTTCAAATAAGGTTCTTCGATTTTCCATTTATTTAATTCCAGTTGCTAATGAACCATCTCTTCATCACGATTTCCAGCTCTAAAGTACTATAAGGTTTAACACCATTTAAAATAAGGTTCTTCAGACATCCATGACCTACAAGTTGTTGATAATCGACCCGACTACCTCTGACCGTTCGATCGCAGTCGAGATCCACGCCGACGCCACCACCGGCGGTTGTTCCTCAGTCGACGCCCTCGTTTCGGCAGTGACCGTTGTGCCTGCC